CTGTACGCTCACTTCATCCGAGGAGTTCATGATTCTGCTCTCGCTCGCTTAACAGACACCAGGGAGAAGATGGGGAAATACTATGATCGGAAAAGGGACGAACCGCCTAACTTCAAGGTGGGAGATATGGTTATGCTTAACGCGACCAACATCAAGACACGTCGCTCTACCAAAAAACTCGATCATAAGAAACTCGGTCCATTTAAGATTATCCGACTAGCCGGGAAACGAGCCTGCGAATTGGAACTGCCACCACAAGTCAAGATCCATAACGTGTTCCACATTGAACTCTTGGAACGTTATCGACAGAGCAGTATCCCAGGCCGCGAACAACGTCCCCCGACTCCCGAAGAAGTCGATAAGGAAGGAGAGGTTTTGTACGAAGTGGAAAGTATTGTGGGAAGCCGGAAGAGCAGAAGAGGATTAGTGGAATACCTGGTGAAATGGCGGGGCTATTCGATGAGCGACTGTACTTACCAAGTCATGGACGTTATGAATGAAGACGTACTTGATTTAGTCCGCGACTTTCATCGAAGGAACCCCAAGGCCGTGAAGGACCAACGCCTGAGACTATAGAGGTACCCCACGGGGCTAAGTCCTTCCCCTCCACAGACACCGCGGGTGATAGGTGGAGCAGGTTTACTGGAACCATAGTCTGTCAGAAGATGTCCCGAGACGTGACACCCTGGAAGGGGGGTAAGCTGTTACGGGCATGCCAAGCATTTACGGGAGTGAGAGAAAGGCTAGTAGATATCCCTATACCCTTTAGTACTAATGGCAACACCACTATCAACTCCGGTTCGCACCTACGAGGTACGGTGCGATCGATATGTGACCAAATGCGGAGTTGCGGTTTTCCTAGTTAAAAAATACGTTTTCGACCCCAATAATAACCCCCGGAGCGTCAAACCGCCGGAGGGGAGTGTTTTGGTACCGGTGGATATATGAGGAACAGCTGGAATCAATCGGATCGAAGATCGGACCGCTCGGAGCGAATCGGCGCAAGCTGCCAGCCGACCGAGTACCTATCGGCGGTACCTGTGGGCATGAGAGGACTCTGCTATGTGGGAAAGCGATGTGGGAAGAGGCCTGAGTAGGTAGCCTTGCCGTCCGAGACCTCCGAATAGCCGACGCTGACGATTATCCACCAGACGGCCGATGGGGAAGAAACATCGACAGGGAAACGTGCATTAGAATGGATAAATAGGTTGCGGGGTTTCAGCGGCTTTAGGAGTTTGGGTTACGGACTTAGGAGTTAAATGTATTTGGTTATTTTTCAGGGTCTCGGGCATGCCCCGAGTGTATTCTGTATTATTAGTAGACTGGGTCCTCGAGACATAAGCGAGGGATATAAATACTGTGTCGTTTACTGACAAGCCAAACCATCATCGGCGAAATCAGAGTCTTAACAATATAAATCGTTGATACGCGAGTTACAACTTTATTTGACTATACTTTTTGAATTACTTTACTCTATCGTGACTTCGAACTCTACCTGAACTATTACGTCGAAGACGGTCGAATCCTATACGCTAACTCTAGTGAATCTTTGTTGATAACGTAGCTCGCGGGGCCCGTATCGGATCAAGGAGATTCATACTCGACGTTGACTGAAGAGACCTTGGAGACTTCTACCTTTGTAGCTGTTAGCCGAACTCTGAGCTCTGCGTAGTGTACTCTTGCGGTCTGGTACGCATCCCTCACAAAAACCCAAAAGGACATAATCTACACCCCAACAATCCGCTTGTCCTTGGGTTTCTTAGGATACCTCATATGGAAATCCCGAAGGGCTTCTTCAGCACTCTTCTTGAGATGCTCCCAAGGTTCCCATGTAGCATCCTCGTTTTCATAACCTTCCCACAGCACTAGGTATTCCACTCGTCTCCTTTTCTTATTGACCCGGCTATCAGCTACCTCTCGGACAACCCAGCTCTGTTCTCCTTCAATCTCTTCGGGCTCCGGTACAGGAACTCTTCTCTCAGGATCTACCGGTGCTCGGTAAGGTTCTAGAAGGGAGACATGAAAGACCGGGTGGATTCCCATTTGGGGTGGAAGAGAGAGCTTGTAGGCACGGGTACCAATAGCTTCTAAGACCTTAAAGGGTCCCATCTTCTTCTGATCCAGTTTTCCCAAAGGCCGCTTTGTTTGCACATTGCGCCGGTCCAACATAACTTCATCTCCGGGCTTGATTTCAGGCGGTGCCAGGGCATGAGCATCATACCACCGGGCCATCCTTAATCTAGCTTTACCCAAGCTGGCGTTCATAGCCTGCCAGATAGATTCCCATTGAGATATCATGACCTCACTCGCTGGATTGTTCCATTCTACTCCTTCCTTTGGGGCCGGCCAGTTGGTCCTGGGTTCATATCCATAGTTGGCATAAAAAGCCGATACTTTGGTAGACTCAGAGACCGCCGAGTTGTATGCATACTCTGCCAAAGGCAAGAGTTCTGCCCAGTCATCCTGTTGATATGAACAATAACTCCGCAAGTAATGTTCCAGGGTCTGATTAACTCTTTCTGTTTGGCCGTCCGTTTGAGGGTGGAAAGATGTGGACATCTTCAGCTTCACATTGAGGAGGCTCATGAGAGATTGCCAAAAGTGAGAAATGAACCTGCTATCTCTGTCCGAGACTATGTCATCAGGTAAACCATGGAGTCTCCAAACTTCCTTCAAGAACAATTTAGCCAAATCTTCCGTTTTATTGAGGGTAGGAAGAGGGATGTAGTGTGCCATCTTCGAAAAGCGGTCCACTATTACCCAGATCTTTGTAAACCCACTAGATTCCGGTAATCCCACAATGAAGTCCATAGAGATGGAAGTCCATGGCCGATAGGGTATCTCCAATGGTTGGAGCATACCAAACTTCTTGTGTCTTGAGGTCTTATTCCTCTGGCAGCTGTCACAGCTCCGGACATATTCCTCAACATCCTTATCCATGTTGGGCCAAAAGAAGTTGTTTTTCACCCGCTCTAGTGTCTTAAATTGGCCAAAATGACCAGCCACCTTAGAGTCATGGGTATCGGACAGTATTTCCATCTGAAGCTTCTTGTCTTTGGGTATATACCATCTATTCTTATAGAAGATGAGACCGTTCTTGACCGACAAGTTCTGGTCCAAATTTGGTTTCCTTTCAACCAGGGAGCGGTGCAATTCCTGCCAGAAACTATCCTCTTTAGCAGCCGTATATAGGCGCTCTAAGAATGTGTTCTGCAATTGATTCACCCTGAGAGCCGCTAGTTTTGCAGGATCCAAAACCAATTGACCTGGCCTAAAAAAGATCTGTGGCTCCGGCTGCAGAGTTTCACCCCCCTCTCCAAGGCGGTGATCCCAGCGCCTAGATAGCACATCAGTCTTGCCATTCTTTTCTCCCGGTCTGTAGACAACTTTAAAATTGTAGCCTGCGAGGTCTTCAGACCATCTAGCTTGCCGCCTAGTGAGAACCTTGGTAGAATTAAAGTACTCCAAGTTCTTGTGGTCTGTAAAAACCGTGATCTCTTGCTCACAAGATTTGAGCATGTGTTCCCATTCCCGGAAATAGGCTACAATAGCTCCCATTTCCTTATCATGAATGTCATAGTTGATCTCAGCAGGGGAGAACTTCTTAGAATAGAATGCCACCGGATGTAGCTTCCCATCATCCCCATACTGAGAGAGCACCGCTCCCTTGGCAAAAGCACTGGCATCTGTCTCGACCACCATTCTCCTACTAGGGTCAAAATGAAGGAGGATTGGAGCGCTTGTGAACAGGCTCTTGAGTTCTTCAAAGGCCTGCTCATGTGCTGCCGTCCAATACCATTTCTTGTCTTTTTGCAGGAGGTCAGTTAATGGTTTGCAAACTTTACTGAAGCCTTCAATAAAGCGGCGATAGAAGTTTGCAAATCCGAGGAATGCCTGTACTGCCTTGATATTCTCAGGGACTGGCCACTCCTTAACTGCCTCCACCTTGTCTTCTGACATAGATACTCCTTCTTCCGAGATGTGATAGCCTAGGTACTCTACTTCTCGGACATGGAAGGATGTCTTGCTGATCGAGGCACAGAGCTTAGCTTCCCTCAGCTTCTGTAGTACCTTCTTGACCAGTAGCTCATGCTCTTTCTCAGTTTCTGAGTAGATGAGGATGTCATCAATATAGACAACCACTCCTTCATCCAGTAGTTCCTTTAGTGTAACGGAGCCATTTAAACTGTCTGGTGTATGAGTGCACACAGGGCCCGGTTACATGCTGAGAGTTATTGTTAGAAGCCAGTTGCACGGTGATATGCAAGTACCGGCAGTGTGGTTAGCTACCAGCTGTTAGAGTAACTACATTCCGGGCGCTAGGAAGGGGATCTATTCATGGGAGCAATGACTGACGAGTCTATGCCTCGCCAGTGACTAGAAGACCGGCCAGAGTGAAGCTCTGATTGCCCGGTGATCCACTGCATCCTCTGAGCATTGTAAGTCCGCCGAAGGGCAGGGACTATGCTAGGGAAGTCTACAATAAGCGAAAGCTCTACAGCAATGATTGAGCTTACACCTGAGCGGCAGCTCATTCATGCAGGTCCTCGGTTGTGTGGCAACCAAGGCTGCAGGTGTTACAAAGGCTTTGACTAAGGGTGGTTGCCTTGGGTATCGGAAACACCTGCTGACGCTTAGAGAAAGGCGGGGTAGCGGTGGTATTGTTTTCCGGTACTGAGGGAAGGCCCACCGGAACTTAGTAGAGGAGTTAGGAGCAGAGAACAGAGGCCTTCGGAGTATAAGTACTCAGGTTCATTCTCGCCCTTCAGTCCTGTTCTCTCTAGTCTTCATCAGAAAGAAAAACCAAGTTCTTATCGGTAGCAGAGCCCTTAAAGATTATTGAGTTCTAGCGATAGTATCTTTGAATAATCTGCAACCTGATTGTCTATCTTGCACGGCCGTCTCTATTCTATCCGATTCTATTTCTCTTAGAAAGGTCCCCGTTACAGATAATCTTTAAGGCTCAAGTCACCTTCAGATTATTCTTCCTCTATACAAAAATGTCCACCCTCCCCGCTCCGGATGCGCCCATGCAGATTGAATGGCAGCCGGTGCCCCTCCAGCTTCATGCCACCGGGCAGACACAGCTTGTTAAGAAGCCCAGGACTGCCCTACAGACCTACATGCCCGGCTGTGAGCCTGCCTGGCAGGATACCGACGAGGTTTCCATCCAACAGTTCTTCACCGAGCTTCAGACCTGCCTCCAGCATAGCCTGCAGAATCAGTTGACCCGGGGCAGTCAGGCAGTACTCCTTGTACAAGAGCGCCAGGCAGCACAGAATGCTCTGATGGCAGAAGCTCTTGAGTACATGAGAATGGAGGTCAACTCTGTTCAGGAAGAACTCCGGAAGTATGTGGAGAGAGATGAACTAAATGCCGATGCCATGGAGATTGAGTGGACAAACCCGGCTACTCCACCAGACTTTGTTGCCAAGATACAGAAAGCCCTTGATGAAGGAAGGCTATTGGTAGGGAGACCAGCAACTCCGGCACCAAATCCAGGCTCCAGGTCCTCGTCCAGGGCAGCCACCAGGACAATGCAGCGGAAAACCAGTCCCTTCGCAGCATTTCCGGTCAGATCCACTAGGAGAGTTGTTCCTATTGTCCAGCCAGCGGTGGGAGCATCTCCCTTACCTCCTAGCCGCTTTGCAGGAATAAACCCATTCCTCGGATTAGCCGACCGATCCTTTGACTATGAGGGAGAACACTACCCAGGTGCAGGCCGAGGACCTCCCAGCCCGCTAGCCAGGAACCCAGGAAGGTTCACCATGTCTGGGGCCGCTCAACCAGCAGCAACCTCACCACTGACCAGCAATCCGGCACCAGTAGCACCTGTGGCTCCTCCCGCTGCGGCCGCCGCTCCCCCTCCAGCCAATGTACAGGGTGGAAGCGGTGGGAACCAGAACCCTCCACCTCCTGTGGCCCGTGCTCCTGCTCCTGGAGACTCAGACAGTTCTGACAGTTCAGACTCGGAACCGGAAGGTGGTGACAGAAGAGGTTGGCGGAGATACCTTAAGAAGAAGTTGGAGAAGCAACAGAAGGACCTGTTTGCTATGATGTCTTAGCAGTATCGACCCCCGGCCGCCTCCCACCCTTCTACCTCCACCAGGGCCCGAGAACCAAAGTGTGAGGGATGCGTACCAGACCACAAGAGTACACTACGCAGAGCTCAGAGTTCGGCTAACAGCTACAAAGGTAGAAGTCTCCAAGGTCTCTTCAGTCAACGTCGAGTATGATTCTCCTTGATCCGATACGGGCCCCGCGAGCTACGTTATCAACAAAGATTCACTAGAGTTAGCGTATAGAATTCGACCGTCTTCGACGTAATAGTTCAGGTAGAGTTCGAAGTCACGATAGAGTAAAGTATTTTCAAAAGTATAGTCAAAATAAAGTTGTAACTCGCGTATCAACGATTTATATTGTTAAGACTCTGATTTCGCCGATGATGGTTTGGCTAGTCAGTGAATGACACAGTATTTATATCCCTCGCTTATGTCTCGAGGACCTAATCTAATAACACAGAATACACTCGGGGCATGCCCGAGACCCTGAAAAACAACCAAGAACATTTAACTCCTAAGTCCGTAACCCAAACTCCTAAACCCGCTAAAACCCCTCAACTTATTTATCCCTCTAATGCACGTTTCCTTGTCGATGTTTCTTCTCCATCGGCCGTCTGGTGGATAATCGTCAGCACCGGCTATTCGGAGGTCTCGGACGGCAAGGCTACCTACTCAGGCCTCTTCCCACATCGCTTTCCCACATAGCAGAGTCCTCTCATGCCCACAGGTACCGCCGATAGGTACTCGGTCGGCTGGCAGCTTGCGCCGATTCGCTCCGAGCGGTCCGATCTTCGATCCGATTGATTCCAGCTGTCCCTCATATATCCACCGGTACCAAAACACTCCCCTCCGGCGGTTTGACGCTCCGGGGGTTATTATTGGGGTCGAAAACGTGTTTTTTATGACTCTGGGTTTTTTAGTCGTAATTTGTCGCACCACACTCCGCGAGTGTGGTCGAGAGTTGATATTAGCGTACAGAGGGTATTGGGGTATCTACTAGCCTTTCTCTCACTCCCGTAAATACTTAGCATGCCCGTAACACAAAGGCTCCACCACCCTCCAAGTTCCAGGGCAGAGCTGAGCAAGTGGAGACCTTCATCCGGCAATGTGAGAATGTGTTCTCCATTGAGAGCCTGTCATTTACCTCTGAGGAGGTTAAAATCCGATATGCAGGCAACTTGATGGAAGGGGAGGCAGCGATCAGATGGTATGAGGCATACCACAACTCAATTGATCAAGCCTCCGCCAACCGCCTTGCTGGAATGCCGGTGACTTTGGATCTGAGATGGAAGCGCTGGGATTCCTTTGTGGATGCTTTTAGAGCTGCCTTCGGTGAAGCCATCTCTAGAGATGATGCTGTAGCCCAATGGAATACCCTCACCCACACAGCTCGAGGAGGAATAGACCTCTTCCTGAATACTATCATTCAGCTGATGTGGAAGACTGGCTATGAGGGTCAGTTGGTGGATGATAAGATTCATAATTCCCTCCTCCCGGACCTGGGTATGAGTTGGGCTCTTTTCAATCCCAAGCCAAAGTCCTTGATGGAGCGGATAGCTGCTCTAAGAGAGTTAGAGCACACCCATGAGAGGTACCAAGGGATGGCAGCTGAGAAAGCGCACCCTCGGACCAAGAAAGATCCTCCCGCTCAGAAGGACCAGCAGCCCAAGAGGAAAAGAGAAGCTGCGAGCTCCTCCGGACCTCAGAAGACTCCTGGACCTAAAGACAAAGCGGTGGAACTGAAGGGTATCCCGGGGGATATTCTAGAAGAAAGAAGGAAAGCAGAAGTATGCTTGAAGGTATGACCTTTCAGTACTCCCTATTGGTAGAGTGCATAGACTGACTTGTGCAATAGTGCGGCAAGTCCAGACACAAATGGACCGATTGTTGGTCAAAGGAACCTACTGTTGTCCGAGTGGCAGCAGTGAGAGTACAAAAGCGGAAAAGAGGGAATGGCAAGTCCAGCTCTCAGAAGAAGGCTAAAGTGGCTGCTGTAGTAGCAGAGGATCCACTTGTTGTACTCCCGGAGGTTACAGAAGATTTTGTTTTGCAGCCTGAGCAAGACTCGGACAATGAAATCCTCTGGTAGAAAAGTGTCTGTCTGAGTCTATGTTTACTAGTTTTCTTTTTTATGGGTTTTTGGTTTCTATGTTTCTCTTGAATAAATTATGATTGTGTTTCCGCCTATTTGATTGCTCCAAGCACTCTGAGGATGGGTTTAAGACCCGAAACAGCTGGTCTGTCAGTGCTCTACCAAAGTTATATTTGCTACCAAGACACTTCCAAACCGCTGCCAAAAGACTACTACACAATACATCTGCTATATTATCGCTTGGGAATAGAACCAAAGGATCTTTTCGATCTTAGTAGTGCCCGAAGCTATTAGCTATGTTGAAAAGACAAAGAGAAACGAGTCCAGAACCCGCTGTTAAGCAGAGAAAGTTAGAACAGAGGCTTCCTTCTTTACCAGTACATGGGACAAGACCTATACTGAAGGCAGGACTGTCATGGACGGTCAAAGGAAAGGATGAAGGCGCCCAAGGGTCTTTCTTGTTTGACACCGGTTGTACAGAAGCTATCCTCAACCAGAGTTTTGTCAGGAAACATGGAATTCCCTTAGTGCGGCGGGATCAACCTCTGACAATGTTTGATGCTCAGGGAGATGTCATGATGGGAGGAGGCGAGTATTACACTCACCCGGTCTGCATGATTATGGGAGATCATAAAGAGACACTCCGATGGGAAGTGGCTACTTTGGAAGAAGGAATGACCGGTTACCTGCCAATTAGTTGGGCTAGGAAGCATAACCCGGACATCAACTGGGAACTCAACACCATGAGCTGGAGGAGTGACTACTGCAAGCAGAATTGTCTCCCAGCGGCCACCAAGATTGAACTGATCTCTCTATACCAAATGTTGGAAGAAGAAGAGACAGTCTATCAATTGGTTGGTTCAGTATGGCATGATGAGGACGGAGGTGATATTGCGGAGAAAATACACCACCTATACCGGGATTGGGCTGATGTGTTCAGTCAAGAGAAGATTGAGGAAATGCCGCCGCATTCCCATAATGATTTGAAGATCAAGCTCTTGCCTGGCACCGCTCCCCCATTTGGCCCGCTGTACCCATGTTCCGCTCCAGAAGTGAAGGCCGTCCGAGAGTACCTGGATAAAGAATTATCTTCAGGAAAGATTTCTAGATCTAACAGCCCTGCTGCGGCATCCATATTGTTCATTCCTAAGAAGGATGGGACATTGCGGATTTGTGTGGACTACAGAGGATTGAACAAGGTCACTGTCAAGGACAAGTACCCGCTGCCTATCATGAGTGAGCTCAGAGACAGGTTGTTCAAGGCCAAGATCTTCACAAAGATAGACCTGAAGAACGGCTACAACTTGATCAGGATAGCAGAAGGTGATGAGTGGAAAACCGCTTTCAGAACCCGCTATGGACTGTATCAGTATAATGTGATGCCGTTTGGTCTATGCAATTGTAACGGGGACTATGGGCGATGGAACTATGATGCCAAGGAATACAACCAAGGCGAAGATGAAGACGTAAGGAGGTTCGTGGACTATGGACTATGGGGCCGAGGTATGCTACCAAGGCGGGAACGTGGACTATGGACTATGGGGCCGAAGGGTACACCTAAGGCAAGGACGGGGACTGTGGACTATGGATGGTTGTACCTGGTCTAGTATACCGGGTAAACCCTATGACGTAGCGCAAACCAAATAGTATTCGTAACTGTAAAGAACAGAGGTTGCATAAAGTGAAAAGGAAAAGAAAGAGAAACAAGAAATCACGAGACAATGCCCCCCTTATATATCCATATCCTATCCCAATGCTGACTCATACCCTCGCGTAACAGAAACAAAAAGAACATAATAGAAACCCACTTCGCTAAACCCAACCACACTACATAATCCTTCTCCCTTATACCCAGACAACTCACATAGCCAACCCGCCTAGCTGCCGTTACAGACCACTCCCCCCTCTAAAGCCTACCTCCTGGTAGGCTTAGGCTTCCGTGGATAACATTCATGGAATCGTTTGACGATATCGGGCGAGTGTTCGACGTCCGACAATGGCTGCCACGAAGCTTCATCATAACCAATATACTTTACCAAGTATTCAAACCTTCCCCGACGGCTTCTAGAATCTAAAATATCTTCAACCTCCCACTCCTCTTGACCCTCAATTTCGACTGGGGGTGGCGGCAATTGTTGCTGACCCGGTAGGGGATCAATGGCTTCCGGCGACAGTAACGAAACATGAAACACAGGATGGACCTTCATAGAACGAGGAAGTTCTAATTCGTAGGCATAGGGATTGACAATTCGCTTAATGACATATGGCCCAATACGCTTCCAATCGAGTTTCTTCGAGGGCCGTTTGGTGAGGACATGGCGGGTCGATAGGAACACTTTATCCCCAATATGATAGTGAGGCGCTGGAGTCCGACTTATATTGGTCGACTCTTCTTGAATCCTTTGCGCTCGGAACAATTCAGCTCGTAAAACGTCTATTATATCCTTCATCTCTCGTGCAATGGTATTCGCTTGGTCTTCCGCTGTTGTCTTGCCATGTTCCAGAGGACCAAAAGTCATTCTTGGATTCCTCCCTGAGTTGGCGTAAAACGGAGAGATTCCCGTCATTTCAGAAGCATGGTTATTTGTTGCAAACTCGGCCATTGGCAACCATCGAACCCAGTCGTCCTGTTGATAAGAAACATAACTTCGAAGGTATTGTTCCATCACAGCATTGATCCTTTCCGTTTGCCCATCCGTCTGGGGATGAAATGCTGTAGAGAACTTTGGCGATATTTCCAAACGATCGCAAAGGGACATCCAGAATTCCGCAACAAATTGTGTTCCTCGATCAGATACCATTGTTTCAGGGAGTCCATGTAATTTCCAAACATCGTCAATATACAGTCTCGCTACTTCCCTTGAGTCCGCCTCCTTTGTTGTTGGTATTAGGTGTCGCATCTTAGTTAACCTATCCACCACGACCAAGATTGCATTGTATCCATCGCTCTCTGGGAGGTCGGTAACAAAATCCATTGACACATCCGTCCATGGTCCATCGGGTATTGGCATCGGGCGGAGTACTCCATAGGGTGCATTGCGTGGTGCCTTGCTACGGGCACACACATTGCAATTCCGAACATACTGATCGATATACTTCCGCATTTGTGGCCAGTAATACTCTCGATTCAGGAGTTCCAAAGTCTTCGCTCTGCCTGGGTGACCTGCCGATGGTTTGTCATGATACTCTTTTAGAAGTCTTAGCTGAAGGTCATTGTCATCGGGTACATAGAGTGCGCCACGGTAAACTAGCCGACCATTGTTGTCTTCCGTGCATTCGGCAAGTGAAATCTTATTCGAATGGCGGACGCCATTCCGTAGCATCGCAAGGACTTTATTTGGGAAACTGTCAACTTGGTAAGCATTTGAAAACAACTCCTCTACAGTGGACATTCCTTCAGCGGATTCATTTGAAAAAGAACCCGCGAACAAACTTAGCTTTCCATCCAAATTTTTCCTCTTCAAAACCACTTGACTTTGATGTGTCAACCGTTCATCCCCCTCCTTAGGTAGGTCACCCGACCTCCTAGTCAATGCATCTGGTTTCGCCCCTTGCTTTCCTGGTCTAAATTGAATGACGAAATCGAAACGTGAAAGAAATTCCGACCAACGGGCTTGTCGACGGTTTAATAACTTTGTTGACATAAAATATTCGAGGTTCCGATGGTCGCTAAGAACTTCAATTGGGAATTGTGCCCCCTCTAAATGATGTCGCCATTCCTCAAAACATCGTACGATTGCCAGGAGTTCTTTGTCATAGATCTCATAGTTACATTCCGCAGGGGAATGTTTCTTAGAGAAGAAAGCGACTGGATGTAGAATTCCTTCGTCGTCACGTTGGGATAGAATTCCAGCAGAAACATAGTCGGATGCATCGGTTTCGACCACGATTTTCCGATCCGGATCAAAGTGCGCTAGTATGGGTGCCGTTGTGAACATCTTTTTCAATATCTGAAATGCTTCCTCCCTTTCGTCCGTCCATTCGAACTTAACATTCTTCTTCGTCAAAGCCGTAAGTTGGGCAACAATCTTTGAGTATCCTAGGATAAACCGTCGGTAAAAGTTTGCAAACCCCAAAAATACTTGAACATCGTGGAGGTTCCTTGGTGTGGACCATTCCAAAACATCGATAACCTTCTTTGGATCCATCCTATTCCCATCCGGGGTGAGAATAAGGCCAAGATATTTTGTTTCCTGAACCATGAATTCACATTTCTCAGGTTTAAGGTGAACATGATTCTCATCAAGTACCTTTAGAATCTTTTGAATGTGTTCCTTATGTTCCACTAGAGTTTCCGAAAAAATAAGGATATCGTCCAAATATGCCGTGACGAATTGATCAAGATGGGGCCGTAGGATATCATTGATCCAATGTTGGAAAGTGGCAGGGGCGTTGGCTAATCCAAATAGCATGACTGTATATTCGAAATGTCCATACCGAGTCCTAAACGCTGTTTTCCATTCATCCCCCTCCGCTAACCTAATCTGATTATATCCCCAACGCAAATCTAGCTTGGTATAATATCGTGCCTTTGAAAGTTTGGCCAGAGTTTCCTTCAACAGGGGTAATGGATAACGGTTCTTGATCGTAATTGTATTTAGGCCCCGATAATCCACGCAGAGTCGGAGGGTTCCATCACTTTTCTTTACGAATAGGATGGGTGCTCCCGCCGGCGAGTCACTGGCCCGAATAAACCCCTTTGGTAAATTTTCGTCAAGATATTCCCGTAGTGCTTTTAATTCAACTTGGGATAGGCCATATATCGGTCCGTACGGTGGTCGTTTGCCTTCTTCTAATACAATTTCAATATCATGGGACGGCCGATGTGGTGGGAGGATGGATGCATCATATTCCTCAAACATGTGGAGACGATGATGGAATTCTTTTGGTACCAGTTGCTTGATGTCGACAATAGGTTTCTCAATTGCTGAACCGACAATAGTATGATATTCCGGTAAAGGAATCGATATACCATGGACAGTAATCGCTGTTCCACTGAGTGAACAGTTTTGACAGCAGTTTCGAGAGTCGAAAACAAGTAGATTCTTCTTTGGCCGGATCGTAACATCATGATGTCGCATCCAGGGAATTCCCATCACAATCGGATAGTGACTCAACTGGGTAACAAAGAAAGGAACGGTTTCTTGGTGGCCATGAATATCCAACGAGAGGCGGGCAACATGGGTAATTTTTCCTGACTCGACTAGCCTACCATCCATTACCTCGAGTAGACGTGGTATCTTCAGGGGTTCCGAGGAGAATCCATGCTTTTCCATAAAGCCTTGGTCAATAAATGCATAACCTGATGCTCCTGTATCGATAAGAGCATAGGTCGGAATAAAAGAGTGGGAATCCTGGGAGACGGAGCAGGTGATGACAAGGGAGTCTTCGGACATCTTATCCTCGGACACGGTAACAGTGGAGACAATAGAGACAGGTGGCGGGGCTGGCCCCTTTGGTTTGCCATTTTTTACCAAAGGGGCTGACCTTTTAACGCCGGCTTTGGGGACACATTTTCAATTGGTTTTTCTCGCCAATTGCTAATGGTACGGGGATCTTTGGAACGAGGGGCGAGGTAGCGAGACTTGGAAACATGGCGAGATTGGGTTTTAACTCTAGCGGCAGAGACGGAAACACGAGAGCGAAGATCGGCAATGGTGGCATTGGCTTGAACTTCCCAGGCTTTTGCAACAGAGGTGATATAAAGAACCTCATCTTCAGCATCAGCGAGGTTCTCGTCAGCGATGGCGAGACTTTCCTGATGTAGTGCCAGGCGATACCGAAGCTCCTCCTCTTCGGCCCTCGATTCCTCCAACTCAATCTTCAAAGCAACGATAACCTCGTCGCGACCTCGGATAATCTCGGTAGAATCTTCCTGGTTATCGCACAAGGTTTGCCAAAAATCGGCAGCCTTTTCATTGGCTGCTTCTAGTTCTATGGTGAGGCCGGCAATGACCTCTTCCTGAGCCGTGTCGATAATGGGTTCTAGTGGCGCGGGGGTGTCAAGAGGCTTGGTGAGAGCCTCCAAACACTCAGCAATAAGACCATGAGCCTCCGTAAGTTCTTCACCGAAGTCTATATCGGCTGGGAGGGGACCATAGGTGATCAGAAATTCTGAAAGACGCTGCAACAACGTATCTTGAGTGGTGTCGGACATGGTCGCGACCAGAGCTAAGCAAGGCAGTGTTGTATTAGTTGGCTGTAGAGGACGCAACCTAAGTGTAACGGGGACTATGGGCGATGGAACTATGATGCCAAGGAATACAACCGAGGCGAAGACGTAGACGTAAGGAGGTTCGTGGACTATGGACTATGGGGCCGAGGTATGCTACCAAGGCGTGAACGTGGACTATGGACTATGGGGCCGAAGGGTACACCTAAGGCAAGGACGGGGACTGTGGACTATGGATGGTTGTACCTGGTCTAGTATACCGGGTAAACCCTATGACGTAGCGCAAACCAAATAGTATTCGTAACTGTAAAGAACAGAGGTTGCATAAAGAGAAAAGGAAAAGAAAGAGAAACAAGAAATCACGAGACAACGCCCCCCTTATATATCCATATCCTATCCCAATGCTGACTCATACCCTCGCGTAACAGAAACAAA